CACGTCATATCCATCAATATCCTGGCCATCACGTCATATCCACCCTTCCTGGTACCCTCAACATCTCAACTATTGCCAAAAGTGTTTCATAGAAATTAGATATATTTTCTTGAGGTTAAAAATATATTGTATTTATCGTATAGTTCAAAGCAGTCAGTGGCCAGGCCTCGTGCCGTCAAGACTTTGTACCCTTAAGACCTCGTGCCGTCAAGACTTTTGTACCCTTAAGACCTCGTGCCGTCAAGACTTTGTACCCCCTTAAGACCTCGTGCCGTCAAGACTTTGTACCCCCTTAAGACCTCGTGCCGTCAAGACTTTTGTACCCCCTTAAGACCTCGTGCCGTCAAGACTTTGTACCCCCTTAAGACCTCGTGCCGTCAAGACTTTTGTACCCTTAAGATCTCGTACCGTCAAGACTTTGTACTCTCAAGGCCCTGTGCATTGTGTGCTGACATTCTAACAAGCGTTCGTAACCCTCAAACCACAGCTTCTACCAATTATCCAGGAGTTGAGACGCTCCCATTTCTTATAGACCCATACCAGAGCCACTTTGAAGGATTACGGCACGTCCTTATATGATATGGCACGTCATATATATGATAATATGATATCTCGTTATCCCAAGAACCGTTTATGAACCTTTAATTCTAACACACATGTCTCCTTTTCAGTGTTATTTTTGGAGTGAGCAGCGTTATCTTTGTAATTTTATCTTCAACAAACACTAACATGGACATTGACTAAACAATTAGACTAACAAATACACTGTGTTCCAAAAGCACTTCGTGGGGGGAAAAAAGGTACATTTCCCCGCCAACTTTTGTAATTGAAATAAAAGAACGGGGAATATTGAGGGGGAGGAATAAAGAAAGGCCATATGTGGAAGGAAGTGGAAGAGGGCAATAAATAAGGGAAGGGAGAAAAGAATGTGATAAGCGATGAGAGGGAGAGAGAGAATGGGTGGATATATTTGGAGATGGACGGGGAAATTGGGGGTAAAAAAATATTTGCTTTGTTTGGGAAAGAAGGGGGGGGGATTTAGGGGAAGGGTTGAGGGGGTTGTAGGAGGGGTTAGAGGGAGTCTTGGAGAGAGGGGGGGGGGAGGAATCGTGTGACGTCAGCAGCAAAAGTTATATAATATGATATCTGAAGTCTGATGATCATCTCAAAGCTTTTTTACGACTTATTTACAAGCAATAGAAGGCAACAGAGGAGAGAGGGAGAGAGAGAAGAGAGAGAGAGAGAGAGAGAGAGAGAGAGAGAGAGAGAGAGAGAGAGAGAGAGAGGGGGGGAGAGAGAGAGAGAGAGAGAGAGAGAGAGGAGAGAGAGAAGAGAGAGAGCGAGAGAGAGAAGAGAGAGAGAGAGAGAGAGAGAGGAGAGAGGAGGGAGAGAGAAGAGAGAGAGAGAGGGGGGGAGAGGAGAGGGAGGAAGGAGAGAGAGAGAGAGAGGAGAGAGAGAGAGAGAGAGGAGAGAGAGAGAGAGATGAGAGAGAGAGAGAGAGAGAGAGAGAGAGAGAGAGAGAGAGAGAGAATTAACAAGAATCCAAGGAAGAAGAAATGAGAGAAGACAAATAAATATTAATAAAACGATGACAAAATCAGTAGGAGCCATGAGAAGGATTCGAACCTATGATCTGGGTAGACACAAGCCAAGGCCTAGCTTAGACCACTACACCACGCCATGGTCCTGATGATGCTACTGAATCCTCTAAGGTTCCTGAGGCTAGCACTGAAGCCTAATCAGGGTTTCCCAATCACCCTTTTTAACCATGTCGCGGCGTAGTGGTCTAAGGCCTGTGCTAGGGAGTACCCACAGCATAATATTGGCGATGTATCTGTTACATCGTGACCATGTCTCATTACCCCCCCCCTCCATGCTTGTTTCCGTTTTGTTCTGCCAGTGAAGGTAAGGTATGAGCCTCGTTCACCTGCGTCGCTCTTCATGGGTTATTCAACAATGCGTGCAGCTGTTTTCAATTTCCGCCTCTCACACACACACCCCAAACTCTCACTCTGTCTCTTGTGTATCACTCTCTCTCTCTCTCTCTCTCTCTCTCTCTCTCTCTCTCTCTCTCTCTCTCTCTCTCTCTCTCTCTCTTTCTCTCTCTCTCACTTTTGGTATCTCAGATCTCTCACCCCCCCCTCACACTACACACACACACACACACACACACACCACACACACACACATGGAAGTGATGTGGTGGAGGCTGATTCCATACACAGTTTCAAGTGTAGATATGATAGAGCCCAGTAGGCTAAGGAATATGTACATTAGTTGTTTGACAGTTGAGAGGCGGGACCAAAGAGCCAGAGCTCAACCCCCGCAAGCACAACTAGTTAAGTACACACACAGGGGCAAGCAAACATACAATCATTAACAATCACAACCACTAACAGACACCTTGATCAGCATTCCAAGAAAAATGACACTGAATAATACAACATTCAAGAGAGGAGAATATTCTCCTCTCTCAAATAAAGAGAAATATATATTCTCTCTCTGTTATATTGACTCTCTCTCTCTCTCTCTGTTATTCTCTTCTCAGCAAGAGAAGAGAATAACAAAACGGAAATACAGACGAGTGAAGACAAAAAATTTAGAATGGAACACAACTAACCGAAAGAAAATGGAAAACGAAGATAGGGTAAAGAAAGTGAACGAAAAATGAGGAATAAAGGAGATTAAAATTAGGATAAAGAGCCGAGAATATTAATAGTACGATAGCAAACGGAGAGCAACGGTAGAAGAGGAGGAGAAAATGGACAAAAATAAAGGGAAAAAATATTTATTGAAATAATAGCTGGAGGGAATTATCAGGGGGAAAGCGCCAAGCCATTACGACTAAATAGCCCTATGAAAGGATCACGATAAGGATTTAGAATAGAGAAAAAAAAAAACACACACTACGGGCTCACCATAGCCCGTGCTACTTGGAACTTTTTGTTCCAGGTAGCAAATCTTAAACCACATCAACAACAACGAACAACAACAACATTTAAACAGTAGACTCAGACTCTCTTAAGAGCTGACGAAGTGACGTTCTCCGTCTCCTCTGGTCGTGAACGTTAAAAAATACGGCTAATTAGTACAAACTAAAGCACCGAAATATTGACGTTATCCACCCAATTGGCCTCGATAGGTTAGGTGGGTTGCTTGGGTTCGGCACGTGTCTGGTAAGGCAAAACAGTTCTGTTTTTTACGGAGTTGAGCAAGTTGAGAGAAGGAATGGGGGGGGGGGGGGGGAAGTAGATGGTTCTGAGGAAAGAAGTGGGTTGAAAATTGAGAGACGAGGTGTTGGGGCAATTGGTGGGAGTGAGGCCTGGTCGACGACCGGGCCGCGGGGACGCTAAGCCCCGGAAGCACCTCAAGGTAAGGAGGCCAAGATCTTTACGAGCCTCCACTTTGTAGCTAATTACCTGCAGGTGGGGGCACCAGGCAAGCAGCCCAATGGCGCTGTTAAGCTTCAACAACTGATGCTCCCTGTGTGTCAGTGTTGGGGGGGGGGTACTCTAGCTGGGGGTGGGGGGTCTCCTGCTGGGCGGGGTCACAGGCTGGGTGGGGTCACAGGCTGGGTGGGGTCACAGGCTGGGTGGGGTCACAGGCTGGGTGGGGTCACAGGCTGGGTGGGGTCACAGACAAGAAGAAAGTTTTCAGAGAAGGTGTTAGGAAAGGAAGGTAGGATGAATGACTGAGAAAGACTAGGATGAGCCATAAGTCGGAGGAGGATGAGGAGGAGGAGAAGAAGGAAGAGGAAGAGAAGGTAGGATGAGGAGGGAGGAAAGGGAAGGGAACTATCAGGGAAAAAGCGCCAAGCCATTACGACTATATAGCACTGGGAAGGGGTCAGGATAAGGATTTGGGATGGGACGAGGAGGGGAAAGGAATGGTGCCCCAACCACTTGTGGACTATCGGGGATTGAACGCCGACCCGAATGAAGCGAAACCGTCGCTCTACCGTCCAGCCCAAGTGGCTGGTTGACAGTGGAAAAGCGTACGACTGGGAATGGCTACAATTAGTACCAACTGGAATTAATACAAGAAAACGAGGCAGATGAGTGAGTCAAGCGGGAGTAGGCGACATGTAGGTCAGTAATGGTCATTAATAAGCAGTCAAGGCAGCTGCTGGTGGATTAATGGTCATTAATAACCAGGCAAGAGTCATTATGACCTGCGACCTGCACCAAAGAGCAGTAAACTACACATGACCTGTAAACCCCACACAAAGTAAACTACACAGGACCTGTAAACCCCACACAAAGTGAACTACACAGGACCTGTAAACCCCACACAAAGTAAACTACACAGGACCTGTAAACCCCACACAAAGTGAACTACACAGGACCTGTAAACCCCACACAAAGTGTGCGGGTTTCACTCTCAGGGCGGGTCGAAGAGGGCTATCAAGAGAGGGGCGTTATAGACAGGTCTTCGTTATAGCCAGGTACATCAGCGGAGGAGCTGTTTTAGTGCTGATGTGACGTCTTCCCGGTCAGATATCGACCATATGCTAGAGGAGGGGGGTAGACGCTGCCCCACTCCGGGGACGCCACCCCCGAATAAGAGACCCGAGGGATAGTAAGCGATCCAAGGATAGCAAGAGTCCATTGGTAAGAGAAGCGCGTGTATGGTACTCCCATTAACCGGAACGGGAAATGTAAACAAAGAGTGAGTGTGTCTAAGGTGTAAGTGCATCCTCCTCCTCAAGTCTGTGAATAGTGTGTTGACCCCCTGCGGGGACTAGGAGCAGCTAGGCTGGTTAGTAGGGCAACTTCCAGGACACACTCCAAAGTCCTGGACTTTGGAGTACACACTTGGAAGCGTCATACTGAAAAGCCGAAGCTGTATTTAACTTCACTTTCAGTTAAGATTACAAAGGTTCCTCTTTAAGCTCACAACCTATACCATAACTCCGCGTGTCCTCACAACCTATACCATAACTCCGCGTGTCCTCACAACCTATACCATAACTCCGCGTGTCCTCACAACCTATACCATAA